AGTAAAAAAAACTTCGATTTGGATCTACTACATAATAAACATAGTTCATATTAAACAACTACAGTGAGAAACTATCTATGATTTTAATTGTGATGCACATGTAAGTGAAAATTGTAGTATTAATCAATATTCATGAGAATAGAAGAGTTCCAGTAACAATATAGATCACTTATGAGGTGATTGAAAACTTATAAATATCTATATTGAAAATTTCACTATGGATAAAATTCTATAAGCATTTTTCGAACCATAACTTAAATGTGTTTTTCAAGTAGGAGCCAACGGATAGCCAATAATCTTTAATGATCAGTGAAATATTATGTGCTTTTAAGTCTAAATTCGTTCACTTCTTAACAACATTAAAATAATAATAAGTCATCAGGTTTAGGTATAATTAGATGACTCATGAAAATAAAGGGACTGAAAAAAGTTGTTTCTTGAATTAATTTGATAGGTGAGAATAATTAAGAATTCCAGATGATCTGGAAATAATTTTCACTCAAAATTAATGAATATTTAACTTTCTATACTTAGAAGTTTATACTATCTGAAAGTTCCTTAGTTTAGTTCCTTAGATTAACAACTACACATACAATTATAAATAGCACAGAGCTATGAGTCCTGATCCCATGGTCGTTTATTGTAATGGTTGTTCGTTCTTAATAATAGTAAATTACCATTTAATATCTTCAATGCAAATTCACCTCAATCTGGATTTGAATGATTCAACGTTTTTGTACTATAATTTATAGGAAATTTAGTTCATTAATCATTTTGTTTATGTGACATATTAATATATTTCAAATTGTTGTTTAAAAGTGGTTTTTTAACGTAAAACAAGTTGACGCCTCCTAAAGAGCTAGTGAATGCAAAGGTCATTTATAGGGTGAGAATCATTTGCTTTTGATCTTGGCTTATTTTAGTCCATCTCAAAGCCGCGGACCCATGAATATATATACAGTCGGATTCATGATATTTATGTTTTTTGTAAAAACACTACTTAAAAGTTTTTATTTAATGTCACATATAACTGAATATAATTTGATGAAAGCAAAAACTTAGATCAAGTTGAGAGAGAAAATAGAAAACAATGAGAAAGGAAAAAAAAGAAAACACAAATAATAAAAGTCAGGACGTTTAGGGAATTGAAAATATGAAATACATCACATGTAAATATAACATTTTTCTTAGAATAATAATTAAAAAAACATAAGCTTATTTCAGTACTCTTAGTTAGAGGAGGGGATAAATACTTTATTATGTAACTAATTAAATGGTAAATGAATAAATATTTAGTAATTCAGTCAACTGAAACAAAATGATGTTGTCGAATGATAACTGTTTATAAATAAATAGCCTATAGGCATATAAAAATTGGACAGCTAGGATGAAGTTAGACGATCTAGACTTCGCAGATGATCTGGCCCTTCTATCCCAAACGCAACAACAGATGCAGGAGAAGACGACTAGTGTGGCAGCAGCCTCAGCTGCAGTAGGTCTCAACATGCATGAAGGGGAAAGCAAGATTCTCCGATACAACGCAGCATGCACCAATCCAATCAACATTGACGGAAAAGATTTGGAAGATGTAAAAACCTTTACGTATTTGGGCAGCATCATTGATGAACAGGGTGGATCTGATGCAAATGTGAAGGCGCGGATCGGCAAAGCAAGAGCAGCATATTTACCACTGAGGAACATCTGGAATTCAAAGCAACTGTCAACCAACACAAAGGTCAGGATTTTCAATACAAATGTCAAGACAGTTCTACTGTATGGGGTAGAAACCTGGAGAACTACAGAAGCCATCATCCAGAAAATACAGGTGTTTATCAACAGTTGTCTGCGCAAAATACTTCGGATCCGTTGGCCGGACACTATTAGCAACAACCTACTGTGAGAAAGAACAAACCAGATCCCAGCGGAGGAAGAAATCAGGAAGAAGCGCTGGAAGTGGATAGAACACACATTGAGGAAAGCACCGAACTGCGTCACAAGACAAGCCCTCACATGGAATCCTGAAGGCCAAAGGAGAAAAGGAAGACCAAAGAACACATTACGCCGAGAAATGGAGACGGGTATGAAAAGAATAAACAAAAATTGGATTGAACTGGAAAGGAAGGCCCAGGACAGAGTGGGTTGGAGAATGCTGGTCGGCGGCCTATGCTCCATTGGGAGTAACAGGCGTAAGTAAGTAAGTCATATAAAAATCCATGTCAAGGTCTTCCTCCTAGTTAAGTCCCGTCCAATACTACATCACTTGTTTTGTCGTTCAATAGTAAATAATAAATCAATATAATACTTTTTTTAAATGTAAACTTCCACAGATATCCAATTTTTAAGTTGTCGTTCAATAGTTTCAGTAACAGGCGTTTTAATTACGCATTGTTCACTTCATATATTCACACTGAAGCAAATGCAACAAACCATCTACAAGAATGTTTGTGTGGTTGCTTAACTGTTATATCATTCTACGAAAACCCTATATAATAAATTAACATCATAAGTCACCTTTCATTAGAGTAACTTAATAAAATAAGTTCTGTACACAATTAGTATAATATTTGTCCAGGTTATTTTGTACAGGTGGAAAGTGGTACATGGGCAGTAACAAAAGCATTTAGAATTATATCAATAGATAGTGTAAGATTAATTGTCTTAAGTTTGAAATCATTTCAGTAACTCCAAACCAATGTCAAACATGAAAAACTAACAGTTATTAGTCTTTACTCAGATGCGATGACTATTTCTTTAGTTATGTATCCAAGGCGCTATTGCAAGGTACATGGAATTTCTTTTACACAGATGGAAGTACATACCATTAGTAAAAATCCTATTGATATATCCTTAAATATTGTTTATCTTTACAATTAGCTGATTATTAAGTATTATGTAATATTTATCTAATCCTTTAGTGTTCGCTGAATTTTATAGGCCAATTACAATGTGAACATTAGTTACAATGAAGCGACACCATGTATATTTGCTAAAATGTTTAGCGATTAAAAGCTATCAACAGGAAACTCTAGACCTAAGTTTCAAGTTGGTCAATCATTATCAGCACTGTTAATGTCACAAACTGGGAATCTGTATAACGTGGGTTTGAAAGCCATTAGGAGTGCAGCCCACTTAAGACTGCAGGTACACCTTGATAACGAGTACCAAGTACCACGAAACCTGGATCCTGAATTTTCTACCATCCAACTCCAGCCACTTAACATCGTTCATGTCCATTTTTAAATTGACCAATCTGTCAACCATAAGAAACGTAGAACCTGGCACATATGTGTATCAGTTCAATTTCCCATATCACATCAGTACAAGAAAATGAAACTATCCATAAAAATGTCAGTGTACTAGAAACAATACCAGTGCCAGTTGTAATAAACAAGGTTACTCGTCGAAAATATGATTTGAGAAGGATAAACAGATTCGTGTAAAGTAATTTCAAGGCTCAAAATTTATTCATAAACAAAGAATAAATCTACCTAAAACACCATTTCGCTTCGAAGCCAAGGCTAAATTTGATTCATTAATTCAACCCATTTCTTGAGCTTAAACCAGGCACCACAATCATCGAACATTGACTACTAATTATATATATATATATATATATATATATATATATATATATATATATATTATTTATACATTTTAGTGTTATCAAAAATAATTTGGAAGAATCGGTAGACACAGAAGTATTAGTTAAGGCAATGATTAGTAATTCAAGTAGTGAGATGTTTGTTTGTTTGCTTGCTTGCGTTGCTCATATTATAAACATGCTAAAATCAATTTCAGACTAGTTGTATATATATATATATATATATATATATATATATATATAATGGGACACGTGAATATAAACTCTCATCAACACAATCTATGAGTTATGAATATTAGTGTCTAGTCTTTTACATTTTTCAATTATAATCAATCTCTCCTGTCATTGATCGAAAGATAAATATATGTATATTGATCGATACAAATATTGATGTTAAAATCGTTAGCTGACAAACTCTCATAAATGAAACCAAATCACCAGTTTCTCGAAAAATTATCGGTTCACTAAGATTACTAAAAATGATCAATTAATAATAGTTAATTTCTCATTAATCCATAGTAATCATATATATTCATAGTTTCTAAGTCTTTTCGAGATCAAAAGCTTTATGTGTTAATCGTCAGTTACAAATGACTTATATGTTGACGTTCGAAATGATTTTGGCAACACGCCAAAAGTCGTAAATTATTAGACTAGTTGGCTGTTAGCAAAAGAATGAGCTAAAGATATACTAGGAACCTATAATGACACATAAATCGAAAATGAAACCTCTCATTTCTGTTTTCTCATTTGCTACGATCAGTAATTGCTTCAGATATTTCCAAGTCAGTTATTTAAATAATTAATAAGAATACATTTATTTTAGAATGTTTTTCCATCAAATTTTAGTTTCTAATCAGAAAGAATTGGATTTGATCACTATTCACTCATATCCTCTTTCGAGATATTATTCTTAAAACAAAGGCTCATTCAATAAATGAAATTCAAATGATATATTCCATAATGAGAAAGCAAAAGAATAATAGCCAATCCAGTGCAATTCCTATATTTATCATAAACGTTTTTTTAGATATGTATTGCTGAACTATACGAAGTTTATGTCTATTCTTAAGGTTATCGATGTCGAATTTTATTTTTTGGAAAAAGGATAAAGATAAATATATATCCTGATCTCTTCATGCATTTATCTTGTCAGCAGTTTATCTCCTGGATACTTAACTACTAAGACTTCATCGTGGTCTTTTCAGTTTCCCAGCGAATACTGTATATCAATGCTGAAAGGGGATTGGAAGACTTGTTTTGTATCTTGTCTATTACTTATGATTAGGTGTTTTATTCATATACTATTTGTGGTCTCACTGAAGTTAACTGAATTCATCTACTTATTGAAACTGTTTCTTTCATGTTCAATTTTTTTCTGTTTTTGTTATAATTATAGCTACAACCAAGTCGTTCACACGCTGGCAGTGTTGAAGTTCGCCTACTTCGTAAATTACCAGCCCCAATGAATATTCTAATATCCGTTCATGTGACAATATCCAAAGGTGATATAGAAATTGCACATGCTGTCACTAAACTTTACCTGTTTGTTACACAATCATTTTCTGAACGATTGAGAACAAGCAGAATAATTCAAAGAGGAATAATTTAAATAATACGTTGTCTCTTCTATCCTTTACTCGTCTGCAATTAAATGTTTTTATTATTATTCAATTAGGATCACTGAGAAATTTTTCCCTCTTTCGGTTTGTTTACCATCCTTTTACACCTAAAATTTTACTTCAAAATTTACAATGCGGTATAAAATCAATGCAGTTAAACTAAGCTGATTAGTCAGTGACAAAAAAAAACTTTAACAAGTAATATTTATTAAAAAAAGAATATCGTATACCTGCTAATACTGTAAGCGATGATCGGTATCACTTATTAGTTTGCTGACAAATGAGGAGTCGCACATGAACATGCAGTGAAACATATTCATCTATACAAACATAGTCTATTGCATTTTATACACATTCATATTCTTATAAACTACTTTCATCGATACTGTCATACCTATGATAAATATATATATACATCAGATTCAATAAATCAATAGATTACGCAACATTGATTATCTTAACATATAAACAAACTTATATACATACATAAGCATATATACGCGCATATATATGTAAATTAATCGTTTATTTCTCTACCCTATATCTCAATAATTTCTTTCTTGTTTAAGCGCCACTCCATGGGTATCCAACCATTGATGAGATTTTCGTTTTTTGAGTATATAAATATATGTTTAATATTCTTATCCAAGAAATAAAACTGAAACACTATTACTACTCCTAATATCACTACTAATACTACTATTATTGTTAATTATCACGTATTACTGTAATATTTATGTTTGTGTATATGTACGTTTTGCTTAAATGACATCACTTTAATAAATGCTATTTTCTTTTGTTTTCATGAATCGACAACAGTGCTGATAATCACCAAGCTATATAAGCAAATAATCATTTCCAACTCACTCGTAACTGACTTCGGGACAATACTCTTAAAGTTCTAGTAAGAGTTCATGACTCGTATGATCAATGTAGTTGCCACTCAAATAGTGAATCTTCGATGATATTGAACATTTTACTGTAAACTGATTGAAATTTGGAACGAATGTCATTGAAATTTTACGCAGCATCACAATAACATAATGTCCTCAGTGAGATCTGATCGTTCTTGTTTTGATTCCTTATAGAGTTGTGGATACCCTGAATAAATAGCATCAAACTAGAATAAAGTATTTTCCCTTTAGATTGCAGTCAATTTTCAAATGTCATCTCCTGATAAAAGTTGCTTTCAAATTGAGTTTATAAAAACCACTCAATTTCAAAAAAATATCTGGTTACTTGCTATTCAGTTTTCATAATTAATTGTGTTTCCTATGATTAAATTTCAAGTAACAAAATTATAACGGGGTTTCAGTTGAATTTTTTGATAAATAAATATCAAAATTATGCACGCTGTAGAAACGGAATACTCGTTATCGTCAAAGCCTGTTGTCTAAGTTTTATGCAGAATACAACCCTGTTTATTCGCCAAACGACAAGATTGCTCGTAAAAACTTTTATCCCATATGGATAAGAAATGTGTTGTTGGATCATTGAAAACACTAACTGAGAAAAACACTTGGTTTTCTCATGTTTCATTCTTGTTTAAAGGATTGTTTACTATTTTAAAGAGAAAATACTTTTACTCAGATATTTTTATTTAAAACGAAAATTGAGTAGATTAGAATTGGGTAACTGATTTTGTGTCTGTAGGTTAAATTTTCGAGTATTCAAATAAAAGATTAAGGACTCGTAATACTTGGTCTAAATGAAGGTGTTTATAATGGGATCTGAAATAACACTCTATAAATCTGTTCATTGCTATACATAGTTTTCTTTTTAGATATTTAGAAATATACTGACACGATCATATTATAGTTACAACTTAAGGTAAATTACTGACAGATAACTAGGCAACAGTTATTAATTTTATGATACTCAGTATCATTCAGCATAATAGTATTTTTAGCTTCTCTAAACCAGTAGTATCGTGGAAATTTGTTGCTATCTTCTTCAGTAATCTCATCAATGAGAGGTACCTTTCAATCATTTTCACCTAACTCATTATCAGTAAATTAATGTAGATTTCTATGTTCTCCCTCACTTCTTCCAATCGTTTCTTATTATTATTTATACTTATATTAAGGGTCTTTGAATCCTTTTCTTTTCTAGAAAAACAACCTGGTCTTCTTAAGTGGACTAAGTTTTCTTTGAAACATATTTTTAACTGACATTCCAATTTAACTATCTGATTAAATAGTAGTATTGATAAACAAGAAATATTCTCAAAGATTTATCTGGCAGTTAATAATTTCAATTCAACTACAAAGATTCCTCTATGAAACAATCTATTTGAAACATTATTTAGATTGATTATACCATTAATATGTGTAACACAGTAATTGAATTCTATAAATATGTGTACTTCAACAACAACAACAACAGTGATTATTTCGTTTTAAGTTTATTCAATATTCATTTTTTTGTTTAATATATTCATTGCATTATTCACTGATTTGTTCATGTTAAATAAAAATAAAAGACCAAAGACAAACAATCAATCAGGTATTTGAAATCCACAATATAATAATTTGTAAAATCAAGAAAAGATGAAATAGATAAAAAAAATAGATCAAGATTGACAAAAGATTATTTATATGTCCTTATGTCGATTTTTGACATACTGTATACAAATGTCATATTTTGTCAATAATTAAATAGGGAAGATTTGTTTACAGAACACATCTTTATTCTAGGGAAGTGCTTATGATAAAACTATGTATCAGAATGGTATTAGTTAGGAATTCACATAAAACATCAAACACATTTATCTAGTTATCTATCAAACCATCCTGATTCCATTCACTATTCTGTACACATTATCCAAAATTCCCCATACTAAATTAATATATATACCATAGGATGCGGATATTTATGAGAATTATTTACTTTGGATTATTTAGCATCACTAGTTGGAAAAAATGACTTACTAAAAGCCAAAGAGCATCAGCTGAACAGATGTTTCGTTTTATTTGAAACTTTTCACAGTTTACCCACCCAACCCCCATCCATACCCAAAACTCAGTTCCTTCAGGTCTCATGATAAGAATATAATTAACTGTACAATTCATTCCCTGGATTTTGGGTTGTAAACAAAATTCAACATTTACAGCTTTTTAACCAGATACGAGTGATGGCTAGTGATGGAATCAACGACATGCACTTCGTCTTATTTAGGATTCATCGGCTGGATGTACCTGTATTCCAGAATTGTTTACTCCAGATTCCAATCCAGTGCTATTTACTTCAAGCACCATCGCGTTATTCACTTACTTATTGTATCCAGACAGCCATTGGATTCAAACAATCAATACAACTGAATTTACTGCTTTAAATTCTTTTATTTAGATATTTGGATATTTTAAACAGTGAACTTGCTACAAAACATCAACAATTTTACATTTAATTATTTATTATAAAATAATAAGTTAATCATAGAAAGAATAATATTTTTATAAATTAAAAGAATCTAAGTCAACTAGACTAGTTAAAGGATAATATAAAATAAGAATCAAATAAAGCTAACAAGTATAAATATTATATTTGAACAATTTCTAGGTGACATGTTCAAGTCTATGCTATCAAAATCAATGATCAATTAACGCAAAGTATTCTTTTTTATTCAAAATATAATAGATAATAGAACGTCTGATATTATATTTGGTATAGCTTCAAATTGAATTCATATGATAAACAGAAAATAATTATTTATTAAGGAGACTAACTGTGAACAGAAATACATTTTATATTTCCTATTAAGATCTATACATAACTACAATGATCTATTTGGATGGAATAAAAGAGAAGAATTTGACTTGAAATTTAATACTTTAATTAACAATAATAACCAATACATTGTCATATAACAATGAATATTTTAATGGTTTTACTCTAAAATTTATTATATTTAATACAGTTTAAGGCAGGTATATAAATTCACTTGTAAACAGTACAAATGAAATAATCACATCTAACTCTCACTCTTTTTATCTATCTTTCAGAGTAAATAAATAATCACTGATCTAAACAACTAAATAAACAAATAAAAATATTCCATGAAGTTATTCGACAACTCAAGAATTTGCTGTTATCTCATTTCTTGTAAAATAAACACAAATAAATAATGATTTATAGCCAAATGAAATAAACAATAACTGATTTAGTCTAAACGTTTCATTGTTTAAATATATATGATATTAAATCCTTTTGTAAGGGTTATTTACACTAGTGACTAATTCACTATCGAAATAATAATATCAACGGTTGTGGGAAAATTAAGCATAAGGAATATAATTTAACAAACCAAAGGATTGGAAGATGAGGAGTATAGAACAATATCATGATTAAAGATGTATACATTCCAAATGAAACAGATTACAAACCACACCTTTTAAAGTCTTTAATCATAGATTACGACTATGCCAATTACTTTAACCAAAAAGCTTGTACATAATAACATGACTTAGATCAACGGTTGATAAATTCATGAGCTGTTATCACGTTACGATTAGCTTTTTAGTCATTACAGTACTCACAAAATCCACAATATAGTGGGATTCCAGATAACTGCGTTTTACATTAAAGTAAACATTTTGTCTAGCACAATCTATAAGTAGTTGAAAAATTCAACAAATACTTTTTTCACATAAAACGTTTGCTTATCCAAAATATTTGTTTTTCTCATCTTTCCCAATAGTTCCGTTGTTGTTGTTGTTGTTGTTGTTACCGCCTCCTGTTACTGATGTTGAAGGTGGTAGTCAGAAAAATGTATAGAAAAATTGTTACAAAAAGAAATCAATATGGAATAATGGGAAAAAAATTGAAACCGAAAACAAAACCGACTGGAATTTATGATTTTTATTTGATCAGATTCGAAAAGAAGAATAAAATAGAATAAGGATTTAGTTACCACAAAAAGAAAAGTATATAGATTAGAATATTCCAAGAAAGATTAATGATAAACTGTCTTTAAATGTAATATCAATACTTA